CATTGAAAATTTGTGGATAAAAATATCTCCTATTCTACTCATAATACTCTAATTCACTGTTTAGTAATATTCGAAGGTACTGGTTCACATTAATGAGTAGCATTTAAACACAATAAAAATGTACCTACCAGTACCTTAATAAAGAATAAAGTTCTACTTTTATTATAATTAGAGTGTTATATGGGTCGACAACGCTTTACTGGATATAATAGTGTAAGTCTATCTACCGCTATTAAGCACCAAATTTTAAAGTTAAATTCTAATGTTAGGTGAGTTTCTAGAGCTTGTTAGTTCATTGATCAGGCTCCTCACACGATGATAACTTTCTAGTTCGAAATTTAACTTGCTATCAAATTAGCAAACGGATGTAACAAATTTGTTACAGAATGTTATTTACTTTTATTTGAGTTGTTTTCAGGATGAATAGAGATAACTACTAAGAAAAATCAGGTGAAGTCGTTGCAGTTCTATCAAACACAAATTTGAAACCAACATCAATAAACACTCTTATAACGAAATGTTTATTTCATAAATACATATTAATTTCAGATAAAGCTATTTTGAGGACTTGAATTCCTCAAAAGCTCTTCAAAAGAATTAACCTCATTTTTTTTGATCTATTAAAACTTTTGCACTACTTTTTTTACATGTCTCTGTTACTTGTTATTATTTATGCAACTCGTAAAAAAATAATATTATTAAAAAAAGTGCGATAAAGAATATTTTTCGACAAAATATCCTTTGTTCTGAAAAGTTTAAAGAAATAAAATTTATTTTTTTAGTACTACGCACGTAACAAAAATAAAAATAACGAGCGATCAATACACTCATTTTAGAGAAGCATTTGAAGAAAAAATATTTATAACGAAACTCAATCTACGTACGTAATAATCTCAAAAAAGGAAGTTGAAAAAAATCTTGTCGGTATGGGTTGAAAAAATTTTAATACTTTTTGAATACAAAAAGTATAAGATGTAGAATTTTTTTACGCTTTAGCTTTTTAAAAAAACCCTCATTCTTTTGTTCTTTTTCTTTCTTCTTCCATCTTTTTTAATTTAACTTCTTTGATGATAGAATTGAATTAGTTTGGAGACTTCTTTTAAACACAGAATTAAGGTCGTAAAAATGTGTATTAGTATTGTTAGAATATCATTGTTTATTTACTCGTAAGCTAATTTCCATTAGGCTCATTGAACAGCAATTCATATTTTAACATCACAAGTTTTAATTTATTCAGTCAACTGCGTAAGCAATTTATTTAGAAAACAATACTATCACATGCTTATTTTTATTATCTTTATTTTTATTTATTTTTGAGGCGGAAAATTTATCAATAGTTTAAATCTGAATTTTATGCAATCTAGAGCATAGATAAATTTTTAGTTCAAAAAGATAATCACTATAATTTCGTCGTAATATTTTTTCTTATAAATATGACATGGAGTTTTAAAAATAAGACTAAAATAATATATGTTCAAATACTGATAGCATTTGAACTTATTTCCTTAAGATTTCACTAAGATTTCAATTCTTATCGAAAGTAACAGCATTTGTTTTCGTTAAAATGTTCTGAATTGAAACAATAAATGGTTAAATAGAAATATGTGATCATCCCAATGTAATTTCTGATAATTTTTTCTTGTAATATCTTTGCAGTGAATGAAAGCAGTTAAAAAAATTTAATCTTTTCACTTGTGAATTTGTTTCAGAACATGTTTATAGAGACATTTAATAAAAAATACATATATTTTTTAATGTTATTTTATTTATATATATCTTAATATTGTTTAGTATAAAGTAAAAAACTAGAACAGTTTAGCTGCTTTTAAATTACTACATAATTTAACTTCTAAATTGATCTAATCACCTATTAAATTTTAAGATGTTAAAAAAAATCTTTTACACCTAAGATATGCTATTCGTTTAAATTAAACTTATTTTTCAAAATTTTTTTCTCTAATTGTATTGAAAGTATTACCGATACATTTTTTCAAAAAAATATTTCCTTCTTCAGATTTCCTTTTTCATTCTTATATTAGAATCAATGTGGGATATATTGGCAAATGATTCCTCAGATAATGGATTTTCTTTTTGTTATTCAGTGATTTTTTAAAAAATCATGCAAATTGCTCAAATTTTGTAAGTTAAAGAGATTTTCTGCGTTTTCATTTACATTTTCTACATTTTAATTTTGTATGACATAATAGTGTTTAATATGACGCAAAAAAGGGTTTTATAAAAACTGTTCGTTAATCGCTGCATAATTTTCCTTCTGATTTCTTTCTTAGATTGCTTTTCTGTTTGTTCATAATATTATATCGTTTAATATGAAAAAAGAAGTGTTTTACAAAATCTGCTTTTAAATTTCGGTATATTTCTACTTTCGAATTCATAGTACCACCTGTCTAATTTTAAGACGTTTAAAAATGTCATCGAAATTAAAAGTAAATGAACCGTATTTTTTCACATTTTTAAGTCTAACTGCATTTAGAGTATTTCTAACAGAATAGTTTTTAGAAAACTTAGTTGATTGTGCAGATTTCCTGTTGTTGCTTTACCACATCTAACCAGTTTTTCTCTCTATATTGAGTGTTTTCTGCGAAAAAAATTTGCTCAGAAAAAAATCCAAATTGCTCAGAAGTTTGAGAGTTATTGAAAGTTTCTGCATTTTCAAAATAGTTTGCAAACTAAAAAAGAAGATCTTTTTAAATTTGCAATTAAGCACAAAAGTGTAAACAAAAGTTTGGTAAACACTCAGAAAATCCAGCTTTATTACGAAATAAATTACTCCGCAAACTTTAAAATACACGTAAGTGGGCTTAGAACATAGTTTTTGTTCAACCAAACATGTCATTTACCCACCGAAGAAAATGAAATGCGTCCCGATATTCTGCATATTAAATTCTTCTCTAGCCGTGACCCACCTAAAAGGAATGAAAAACAAAATTAATTTTAGCTGATATTAAATACCGTTGTCAGTTATAGCTGCTCCGAAAATCTTATAAGAATGCGGACGTGTCTTCCGTTTAGAAAAGTGCTAAATTTGTTAAGAGAGTAATAAAACAAAATCAGAGCAAAGTTTTCATTGTTTAGAATTAAAGTGGCAACCTAGAAACTGTTATAACTTACAGAAATATTCATGAAAAATTTATTTTTCTTATAAAAATATGAAAACTCATAATAACTACAATGGAAGCATACTGCAAAAAATAATATTTTATGCAATATTTCACAATGTTTTTAAGTTTTTTGAAAAGAATATAATTTGGCAATTTTTTTTCCCTTTACAATGCAATGATGGGTTTTTTAATAAGTTTAATTTTTTACATACTTAAATCTCAGATTCAAAGAAATTAATGACAAGAAATATTATAAAATTGTTAATTATTAGATAATAGTTATAATGAAATAAAAACCTCAGAACATTGAAAAATATTTTTTAAAAAAAATATTAAATTCTAACATAATTACATACATATAGGAACAATGTTTAACTAATACGTATTGATTTTTAATAGACTGTATATATAGAATGATTAATTAGAAATAAAATAACATAAACATTGGATTTAATTTCTTTATAGTTTTTTTGATATCAAACAATAAGAAAATGAAAAATAAAATCACATTTTAAATTAAAGAAAAGTAATAAAGTTGCATTAATACCATTTTTTGTAAAAATATTTATGTCAGTTTAACTATTTAAACTTTCATAAATTAGCTGAAAAAAATAATGACCTGGATAATGAAGTGACATAAGAAATTAAGGTTTAGAAATTTTCATGTAGATTTTTACAAATTTTTTGAGAGACTTTATAACCATTAATTTTTTTTTAGATTTTTTTCAAATTAAAGAATACAGTAATGACGTTCTAAACAGAATAATTTCAATAAAATTTTATATACTCAATAGTGAGTTTATTCGTAAGCATTACTATCTTGTTCCTTGAAAGTAATTAATACCTTTTATCTAAACAAAGTCTTCTGAAATAGATGAAAATAAAACATTTGCGAAAGTAATTTTTACCATGCTTTTGTGAATGTCCCAATACAAAATATTTTATACTTTACGGAATAAAGAAATGATGAGTTTTCCAAAAAAAACTCGCAAAAACTGATATTTTCTTTCTTAAAATTTAAAATGTTGTTTAAAACTTTAAATAAACCTTTTAGTAAAATATTTTTTCAATTGAAAATGTAATTTTTTAATAAGTAAAAAATATTTAGAACATAATCTAAAATATAATAACACCAAAATACTTATTCCCTTTAAGAAAAAAAGCCCTAATAAGCACCTTAAATTGGTATCTTCCGGATAATAAAGTGACATAAGAAATTAAGTTTTAAATAAATCATTCATTCAATTTCAAAAAGAAAATTATGTTTTAGAAATTTTTATGTAGATTTTCACAAATTTACCTAGAGACTTTATAACCATTAATTTTTTTAAAAATTTATATTTTTTTCAAATTAAAGAATACAGCAATGACGTTTTAAACAGAATAATTTCATTAAAATTTTATATACTCAATAGTGAGTTTATTCGTTAGTATTAATATCTTGCTCTTTGAAAGTAATTAATACCTTTTATTTAAATAAAGTCTTCTGAAATAGATGAAAGTAAAACATTTGCGAAAGTAATTGTTACCATGCTTTTGTGAATGTCCCAATACAAAATATTTTATATTTTACTGTGAATAAAGAAATGATGAATTTTCCAGAAAAACTCACAATAACTGATATTTTCTTTCTTAAAATTTAAATTGCTATTTAGGACTGTAAATCAACTTTTAAGTAAAATGTTTTTTCAATTGAAACTGTAATTTTTCACTAAGTAAAAAATATTTAGAACATAATCTGAAATATAATAACACCAAAATACTTATTCCCTTTAAGAAAAAAAACCCTAATAAGTACCTTAAATTGGTACCTTCCGTTTCTTTACAATGTTTCAGGTTGTACGATTTATTTTTACACGACCTTTTTCTTATTTTAATCAGGGCCTACGAGGCCATCTTGATGGAATCGTCGGGTTGGAGTCTGGTAGTTACTCAGTTGTCACCAAATACGGGGATACCCAGATGGTTGAGTACTAAGTGAGTGATATTTTAAATTTTTTCATCTTAATGTGACGTAAATGTGGGGGTTGATAAAACTCACTTTGTTTACGAAACCTGTTCCTACATCTTTAATAAATTTTAATGACCTGAATGCAATCAGAAATTTTTTAAACTATTCAAGAGGAACATTTAGCGTGCCATCAAAGGTGACTGTAATTTTTTTTGGGGGAGTACAAACAAGAGAATATCCTTAATGGTATTTCAAAGCCCGTGGATAGTTATTATTAATTTACTTTTTTGTGTGCTTTCTTATAAAATATTTCATTTTTGTATATTGATTTTAAGCATGCAGTTAAAAAATAATGATTAGATGCAATTAACATAATTTAGGTTTTAAGATCAACAAAGCTTGAACAAATGTTAAGAACTTCTAATACCAGTTAAATAGCCTTATAATTAATAGCTTTATAAGAATTTTTTTAAAATTAATAAAAAATTATAGTGTCTCACTATGTTAAAAAATGGTAAGCGTCTCCCCTACAGCTCTTGTTTTGAATAATCATTTGAACGTCACACTTTGTTTTACAGCCTAAAAACTGCAAGAATAACACATTTAGAAATAGAAGGTGTGTAGAAAAATCTACATGGAGTGCAATTGAATGAAAAATTTGCATTCGATAATTAGTTGGAGAACAATTAAACTTACAGGAAAAATGCTGTGTACAGAAGTTCTACAGGAGAAAGGAATGCAACAAAAAAAATTTGACAATTAACTAAAATTGATGCAGTCAATCAATTTTAGTTAGGACTTTAATGAAAGCCTTTCTTAAGATTTTAAATAGTTCGAAATTAATAACTATTTTTAGGACTTCGTTTGTTAATTTTTCTCATTTTTTATGTATTACTTACTTCCATTTTGATGCGCAAAATCTGTAAGACTTAGAAATTCGAATTAAAAAAAGTGTGCAAAAATGTACCAAAAGTTCACTGGAATAAAAAAAAGTTCACTGGAATAAAAAAAAATAACATTTAAGTTGTTTGAAAAATTATCAACTGTTAAATTTGTAGTAAAATATCACGTCTACTGCCCGCTGAAATGCAAATAAAGGGATTTGTTAAAGGGCCATCTTCATGCATAACTCGAATTTTTCCAAAATTTCAATTTGCTCTCGAGAATTGTTGCCAAATCATTTTAGTTGAAGAAAATTGCAAACTGGCAGCACATTATAATTTAGTAGTATAATTTTAATTTATTGATACAACAAGTAGGTCTATGTCCTTTTTCTTTTACGAAATATGAATAAATCTTAAGTATTCTCCATTAGTTATCAACATCATGCATTGCAATTACTGAAGATTAACGGGGTTAACCCAGAAGGGATATGGAGACTATTTCCTGGTATACAATTACTTACTATTCCTTTCACTGACTAGTTTTTAAAGCAGAGGGACATTAGCCCGTTACTGGAATACTCTATCCTGGTATTCTCTATACTGATATTGTTTTTCACAAATTGTCTTCTAGTAGTATGCACTTGCTTGTTATCCCCAATACTGATTTTTTTTTTCAGTTTCAGCCATTGACAAAAGTTTTTTCTCTAATATTTCTTCAAAGCGGAAAAATGTTTTCGTATCCAAATAATCCGGTTAAACAGCATTTATAGTAGTACTTTACTTTCGTCAAGATGGGTTATTGGAGAAGGTCTGGGGAAACATTTATATAGATAATTCGAACATACTCTATCCCAGTTTTGATAAACATCGCTTTTTTGAGAACGATATAATATTTCTTTTAGTTCATCAATCTTTTTAAAATTTATTTTAACTTGTCATAAGAAATTTATTTAGAAAAAATTCTTTTAGAAGAAAATTCTTAAAAAAAACAGTTTAAATATGAGATATACACAGTTTTTTTATATATATTGCGATGCCACAATTGGCATTACATATTTATTTCCTATCCTTTAAAATATATTTAATTACTTAAGCTTATTTCCATTAATAGAATTATATTTAAAATAAATCGATGACTTTATCTTTAAAACGAACATAAAATATTTATTCTTCTCTTATAGATCAATGTAACGGATACATTTTATTTAATTACTATGCAGACTTATTAATTCACTGTCGCGCCTAATCGAAAACAAAAATCTATGTATGACTTTTTATTCTAAATTTCCAATCGCTAAATGTTTCAGCTGCATGGTTGCAATAATTCCATAAATTTGTTGGCGACTCGTGATCGCCAAGGTGTTCTTTTTAACTCAATACTGATAAGCTGGTTTGCTTTGTTTTGGCAATGTTATATTTTGATAATTTGCCAATTTTGGTTCTCCTACCCATACTTTCTGTGTTCGTTAGGAACAATTGTATTCACTTTTAACTTCAAAATTGTGGGGACTGGGAGTGCCCTTTCGGGCCCTCCCCAGTCTCAATTTCTAACCGTCAGAAATGATATTCTGGCTGTATGATCTCTAAATAAGAGGGTATTCTGATTTCATCCCTTTAAGGGATTTCTTTTTTTCTTTTTTTGGATGAAGAAATGGCCATTCTCTATCACTAATTATGCTTAATAAAGTAAATTTTCATTTAACGACTTATATATTGTTTCCTGGACATTATCACTTTTAGTATTTTCATAATCAAGATGTATTTTCGTACGGCCAAGTAAAATCCACTTTACGATTAATGGCGGCCACAAAAATTGTTTGTCTTGGTGTGTACTATCACTATATATCATCTATATATCATCTATCTATCTATCTATCTATCTATATACACATTGGCGTAAGAAATTAAGAGAATTTGCAGACTTGGTCGATTATCTCTAGAACNGCAAAATTTTAGGAAGTGATAGTACACACCCAAGCAAACAATTTTTATCAAAGAATGCATGGTCGAAAACAAAACGCAAAGGTGCTGGCGCATTTGGAAAGTTTTTTCATGCAAACGAGAAAGCTCCATTCCTATTGCGAGTTACTGCGCTACGTTATTTGTCGCCAAGCATTCGACCGCTGCAGGGAAAGTTCGCATATCTTTTCTTCGCCGTTGTACCAGCATGGCCGCTGCCGGCCACTGTTTTGAACACTTATTGTAATCAAATGCCATTAAATTTGCTTTTATAACTTAACTTCATCGTTCTTTGTGTGTTTTTGCCTCATATAAGACCATAAACTTTGACGCCCTCTAGCGGTTTTGGGTTTCGTTTTCGACCATGCATTTTATGATAAAAATTGTTTGTCTGGGTGTGTACTATCACTTCCTAAAATTTTTCCCATCTTTTTAGAATCACCCTGTATATACAGAGAGAGAGAGAGAGAGAGAAGACATGGAAAATAGAAAATAATATAATAAAGATTAATATAACCTAACTAGCAAAAAACAGAAAATAAAATGCAAGAAAAATAAGGAACAGAACACAAAACATAGTCTATAAAGCGAGTAACAAATTCAAATGAACTTACATGTTCCGGAATCTTTCAAGAATGATTTAAAATACTTTTTAATAAGTTTGCCAGATTACAAAATTTGAAAACCGAAGCACAAATGGAGGTTTGAAGCTTAATAGAGGGATCTTTTATGACGCGTTCTTACCGCAATGCTGAAGCGTGTTTGGTTTGTTAATTACCCTGGATTGGTTCGAAAATAGAAGTGTGCAAGGTAGTAATATTTTACTGGATAATTTAAAGTTTATAATTAAAATGTTTGATATTTGATTATACAATTTTAATGACTTCTGAAAACTAACATGTATTAAAAGAAAGAAACGTGATTTGCCGACTTGCACAAATTTTTAGCCACGGACTTGTACAAATTAGATTTGCATGCGGTAAAACTATATATTCAGTTAGCAGTTTTTACAGTTTTAACTAAGTATTTAGTGAAATAAATAACAATAATAACATGGAATTTACTCAATGATTTTATATAGAACTTAATTACATTAGTTGGGTATAAATTTTTTTTTGTTTAATTTTTGAAATTTTGCTTTTTTTGATAAATATACATATTCTTTTAACTCTATTCATTTGATTAAAAATGGTGTTTAAGTAAATGATTTTAGAAACATTAGAATTCCTAGTAATTTGTTTATTTGTATGAATATTAAGATAATTTCTTTCATTGTATAAATAAACAAAGCAGATCTTTTCTTCTTTCTTAAATACCCAAATTGAAAAAATTAAAATTAATATCATCATCATGATTCTGAAGCAAGATTAATTCCTCGAGGTAAATATTATTTGACAAAATGCAATAATCTTGAAAATTAGAGATAGTTATATCATCAAAAAATCTGAAAACAGATTATATAGAGAGAGAATAATTTTTTTCATAATAGTGTAAAAATAAGTTAGCTAAGAGAGATGAAACATTAGATCCTCGTGGTAATCTTACCGGGTAAATTCGTGCCTAAAAATCTGTACAAGCAACGGGTAAATCTGTTTTTTTTTTCTTCTTTTTTTTAAAATAAATGTTAATTTTCTAAATTCTTTAAAATTGTATAATTAAATATTAAATTTATTATTTACAAACTTTAAATTATCCAATTAAATCTTAACTCTTTGTGCACATCCCTTTTGAGCCAATCCAAGGTGATTTACAAATTAAACTTGCTTCAGTACAGCAGTAAGAAAGCACCGTAAAATATCTCTTCTATTTACGCTTCAAACCTCGATTTGAGCTTCTGTTTTCAAATTTTGTTATTTAGCAAACTTATGATTAAAATAATTTAAATCATTCTTGGAAGATTCCGGAACGTAAAAGTTCATTTTAATTCGCTACTCCCTTTATATGTTACGTTTAGTGTTTTGTTCTATATTTTTCTTACATTTTATTTTCTGTTTTTTGCTTGATATGTTTTATTTCTTAGATTTTTGACTAAATGTGTTCTATTTTCGTTTCAAATTTTTTGGGTGCTCCTCACACTATTGTATTGATATATTTTGATTTTTCAATACTAACACAATATTAGAAAGCCTTCCATTTTTCACGTATAAACGTGTAAGTTGCAGACGAGATTATATCTTTTCATT